TATATTTTACAAACTCAAAGCTAAAATATTATAATTTCAACATAATCAATATAAAATATTGAGTAATTTTACATTCTTTTTTTATACTGACTTCGAAATCCAATATATATTCTGTATTTATAGTACATATCATTTCATACTCTAAACTTTCATTATACTTTTTCAGTATTTAGATTTCATAACATTTACAATTGAAAAAGTAGATTCACATAACCAGGTTTCTCCAGCCATACTTAAAAGCTTTCCAATAACTGGATCAAGTATCAGCTTTAAATTTATTACAAGTAAGCACTAAAGGTAGATAAATATTCAGTTACTCCATCACACTTGCCACATTTCAAGAGCTCAACAGCCGCCGGTGGCTTAGTGGTTACACTATTGGAAAGCACACATCTAGGTCAAGGGTGGTTTCTGTTTTCCTCCACAGGCTACTTTAAGCTGTGATACAAATATTATTAATAAAAAAATACTTTATTTTAAATGCTGTAGAAGACAGAGAATTTTGAAATTAGATGAGAATGAACATTTTTTAGTCTACTTTTTTTTTGGGGGGGGCGGGTCTTTGTACTTTCACTTTTGCTGTGAACCTACAATTGCTTTTTCAAAAGTAAAGCCTTTTTAAAAGAAAATGCAACCTAGAAGTTTTTGCTAGTAACATTCAATTGAACTTATGATGAAGATTATTTTCCAAAAGGTACATGGGATGAAAACTGCATGGCTGGTTCAGCAGGGAACTGTCACTGGTGTGCATAGTTTGGGGAGGGTCTGACTAGTGGGAGAGAAGTTGGAGAAAATAGACGATGAACCTATTTGCACATAGTACAAATCTATGATTTTATTCTGTATTCCAGGGAGCAGCATTAATGTTTGAAGTCATCTGTTTCGATTTGTATTTCTGAAATCCCAAAATACAAATACCTATCTAGCAATTAATGCACAGGATGGCTTGGAGGAAGATGGAAGTAGAAGCCTGGAGTCCAGTTAAGAGGTTATTTCAATTATCCAAGTAAGAAAAGACCAGAACCTGACCCTGGGATAATGGAGATGGAGAAACGGGGGGCAGATGCATGAGATATTTAGGTGACAAAAGTAGCAAGATGTGGTGACCAGTTGGATATGGAAAATATTAAGTTGGGAAGTACCCAGCATACCTCCCAGGAAAGTGACTGGTCAAACCTTTGCACCATTAGCCAAAACAGGATTACTGACAGGACAGGTTAGTGGGATGGAGGTCATTCCAGGACAGAAAGAAATTCTGAGCAGCAGTGTAGTCTGAGACCTTGTTTCAAAGAGCAACTCCATCATGTTTAGTTATTAAGCAAATTATCTTCTCTGAGCTCCTGGATCCTCATTTATATTTCTTTTGAGAACTTTTAAGAGGACTGAATATTTATGTAAGTTAAACTCTTAGAATAGACGCTCAATTTTAAAAATATGTATTTGAATCTAAAGGTCCGCATTGGGTACTATGCTGTATGCGTAAAAGGGATGAAACCTAGGGCTTATTCTCAGATTATCATTTAATCTCATAGTCATTGGAAATAGCAATGTTTATGAGATTTTTGCCTGTTGGAATTTTGAACCTAAGGTTCAATCTAAGGAATAAGGCTGACATCACAATCCTTTTCTGGTCTCATAACACACATTCAATAACTGACTTAATATAAATCTTCTGGCATTTTATGTCCTATAAAAACTTCGTATAAATTAAATGTAGTGACTGTTGCAGGAACCATCATCTAAAACCCCATCGCTTTTATAAATCATCTTTGTTATATAGAAAGAGATAGCAATATAAATATCTTATAGTCTTTTAACTTATCTCAAAAAGAAAACACAGAGGAACAAGTCATCCAAAAATATATCCTATGATCAAATTCATTTTTTCAGGCTTTAAAGACCATTTTTAAAATGGGGCTCCTTTAGTTGGCAAAAAAAAAAAGCCTTAATAGAGCCTTCTACTATGAGACAGGTCTCCCGCTTTGCAAACTGGTTCAAAGAGTCCACAATCACTTTTGAAATATAGGGAAGGTCACCAGCAATTCATAGCCTTCCTATCCTTTCTAACCACCGCTAACACCTTATCTCTTCAGGACTTTGATCGTGACTGGATGTGAGCAGCAAGGGAAATATCTAGCGGAACTCAACGTCAAACTCTGTCGGAGTCTACGTCCTTTTTCAAGTTTAGCGGGTATTTAACTTCCCGGAAACGCCCCCTAAGCCACACCCTCCGCCCCGCCCTCTCACAGCAGCGCCCTCACGCTAGGTTCCCACGCTCCCAGAGGCCGCCGAGCGCGCCCGGGCTTTTTTTTTTTTTTTTAAGGTGGCGACTGAGCATGCGCTCCCGTGCTGCGCACGCGCTGTCGTTCCACGCATGCTCAGAGGCAGAGGCCGGCGGGGCCCTGGGAGCGTCCTGGAGGCCGGCCTGCCCCGCCCCCGCCCCGCGCGCCCAGCTCCCTACCGCGCCCGGGCTTCCCTTTCCGGGAGCGCAAGCGGCGGCCGCCCGCGTCTTTCTCTCTGCTCGGCAGAGTCCGCTTGCAGCGTTCCTGCGGCGACCATGGCACCTCGGAAACGCGGGGCCGCCCTGCGGCTCTGCGCCACAGGTGAAGCCCGCGCGGGGCCGCTACGGGTGGGCGCGGGCACCCTCCCGCGGGTGGGGTCGGGCCTGGTTTGGCGTCTCAGGCCGAAAGCGCGGGGGAGGCTGCGGTGTCCGCAGAGGTACCCCGCCGTCATGGCTCGTCCCGACCGAGCAGATGGCCTGGGGTTCCCCCCCCCCAGCCGCGCCTCTTTGCGGGAGGCCAGTGCCAGGGGCGGAGAAGTCGCGGCTGCCTTGCGTGTGCTTCTGACGCTCAGCGTTGCGGGAAGTTTCTGACTTCGCTGAGGGGCGCGAAGGATGCGGCCGTCCCAGCTTGTAGCCACACCACGCTTTGGCTTGTCACGTCTGAGTCATTTTTACCCACCCAGGGGGCCGGCAGAGCGACGGCCACGGGCAGGCGTGGCGAGGTGGTCGGGATGGTGCGGGGCGACCCTGACCCGTGTGTGCCGGCCTGTCGCAGCCTCCTCATGCCGGACGGGGGACTCGGGTGCTCACGGAGGTGTGCGGGCTCGCTGTGCAGCCGTTTCCTTCGCGCTGCGCGCCCGGCGCTGGGCTGCAATAAGTAGTAACAGGTGCAGCTCAGTGATGTTTCTAGCTGTACATTTTGGGTGGGGTGGGGGGGAGGAACTAATAGTATTTTGAATGGCATCTGGAGTTTATACTGAAGCGATAATTGCTGCTGGAGGAAAGGGAGAAATATAGAAGAATGAGTTCTATCTATCCTCCAAAAAAAGATGGAATGGTCAAAAGGAAAAACGGTCAAAAGCGTAAAAGTACACTTTAAAACAATCTCTGTGTCTTAGGTTTACTAGCGTAACCTGCCTGTCACAGTATGGCTGCACGAAGAGGAAGTATTGGTTAAACACGTGACCTGTTAGTTTTTTGTATCACTTGTGCGGTGGGATGGCTCAATGATGAATTTTTGGGTAGCTTGTAAAAAAAAATGCTTTATCGGTGACTAAGCATGTAGTACAGGCCGTTTATCATATACATTTTGTGTTTTTCAGTTTTTTTACTCGATATGGCTTTCTGCAAAGGATTTGTAGAAGATTTAGATGAATCGTGAGTATATATGTATTTTTAAATAGTAGGTTACCTTCTTCCAACTCTGAGTATTGGCATGATTCTGACCTTTTAACACAGGCTGGAATGACCAATGTTTATACAGCACTAATTTGATTCTAGGAGTCGTCCCAAGTGCTATAAAAATGTGCAAAAATGGGGTTGTGCTCAAAATTTGACTGTTAGGAGACCAAAAACACGGTGGCAAGCGCTTCTATAGTCTATTGTTTTACTTTGTTGTTTCTTCCTGCTTTAATCACCACTGAGTGGGTGCTGGACTTGGGGAACTGTTCTAGAAGCTTCTTTCATAGCACCACAGCGTTAGTCACAGGGCCATGATTACAGCATGTGGCGTCCTACTCCAGCCCAAGACCCTCGTGTGACCTTTTAGGCAGTTACAGGGCGTTTCCCGGCAGCCGTCAAGGGGGAAGCCAGCCTCCCCACGCCAAACTCGGGCACGGCGAGTTGCAGTCACAGACTCCGGCGTCCTGGCCAGCCGTGCTCATACACGTGTCTGCATCCCTGGCCCAGCTGCCTTGGGGGGCGTTGGGGGGTTGGGGGCACTCACCTAAGGCATTTCCTGGGCGTCTCTGCCGAGACCTCCTTACTTGGACTCCCTGCCTTTCCACTCCTGTTCCTTTGTCCTCTCCGTTTCTCTGGCCCAGAGCCCCACGGCAGTGAGATGACTTCCTCTCTCTGTGCTGCTCCACTTGTCAAAATGGATACTGAGGAACTGGCACCGTTTTTTTTGGGGGGGGGCCTCTTGGTGTGGCTTCTCGCAGTAAGTGAATAAAGCCTCGATTATCCTTTTCAGTTGGGCTTCTGTCCTAGTTCGGTGACCCCCCCCTCCTCCACCACAGAACTGGGGTATCAGCCGGGTGGTCAGGGGAGCACAGCCCAGCTGTGGAGAGCAGAAAGCCTCGGGGCCCGTGGGGCCCTTCACCCGCCTTGCTGTGGGCGTTGCGGGGTACTGGCAGATTGTTGGCAGCAACCTTCTGGTTCTGAGGGGAGCCGTTGTTACCGGGGAGGTAACCTGGTTGAGCTGCGTCACTTTAGCCCTTCCCCGTCAGCGCGCCCTAACAGCAGCGACTGCCTGCGGAGGAGGGAGGAGCAGGTGCAGACCCCGCAGACCCTCACCCTCCTCAGCCGGGCGCTCTGTGGACTCTGCCAGATGTGGCTCAGCACCATGCGTTTCCCATCCCTGCAAAGCAGGCCTGGCCCACGTGCACAGAGGCTGTGGAGAGAGGCCCTGCCAGCCACCCTGGGGATCCCTGGGGTCGGCCACGAGGGATTAGGAGCAGTGGCTAATGAGACTGCTAACCAGACTCGATGTCTAGGTGTGTCCTTGCTGCTCCTGCTTGTTACCAGATCCAGTGTCCTCGTGAAATCGGTTTAGTTGGTCTGTGACACAGTCCAACCCTTAACGGACACATTTCCAGTCATGGGAAAAGCAGCCGCCACGAGATAGCACAGATGGATCAGCCCAGGGAGTGACAGAAGACTTGGAACCGGCACCCTCTCTGAGTCACCCAGGTGAAGCCTTTCCGAGAAGATCTCCAGGGCTGGTTCCTTGGTAACAGAGCCTCAAAGGAGGGCCTGAGAGGCTTCTCAGCACGGACCTCGTGACCAGATTCCAGGCCATGAAGGGTGGATTGTGATGGCGGCCCCACTAGGGTCAGCACGCTGACAGCCCCTGTGACTGTTACAGGTACTATCCCGCCATCCTGCCCAGTGAGTCTAGAGATGAGTCAGAGAGCCCTGCAGTGCTTGTCCAGACCTTGACAAGCTGTCAGGGTGAGGCCCCTCTGTCCCCTGATGGGCTAAAGAGCCTATGCCGAGGTCAGAGTTCACTGGGGAGGTGGAGAGAATTGCACCTCTTAGGCCTTGTGGATATCAGTGCCCAGGTGAGTGTGACCCCTACAACCTGTGCTTCCAGGATGAGGAGGATACCCATAATGCTCTCGGGTCTTGAGTGCGTGATGACCACTTCCAGCACCCTTGCCCTCAGTTGGTTCTGGGTGAGTGTTTTCAGGCCCCCACTGCTGAATGCATTACTGGGATACATGCATTATCTGTGTGCACTCCTGCTCACCTTTGTCCCCAAGCCCCGTGGGAAGTGCTGTACTTAGGGCCATCTTAACTGGAGCATATGGAAGACGGAACCTACCCAACCACCAGCTCCTAGTGTCATTGTCTCCAAAAAATAATATTGGCTGCTTGGCGAGGGAACAAATAACTGTCCTGACTGCTGAGCTGAAGGAAGCCAGAGAGCTCTGCAGACCCTCCATTCAGCAGCCCCGTCTGGCTCGTGCATAAGCCTTGGGTGCTGGGAGACTCTCGATTATAGGTACCTCAGGGTACCATAGCGCTGCCCTTGAGTCTGATAGCACCTGACATCAGGAAGGGGCTCGCAGCGGGAGCTTGCTCTGTAGCAGTTGACATCGCAGACCTTTTCAGTATCACCTCCACTGGGCTGATCAGGATCAATTGCCTTCATTTGTAATGGATTCCAGCATGCTTTTAACGCCCGTCTGCAAGGCTACCCTAAATTCCCCACCTGTCTGCTGTCAGTGGGTAGTTCGTGGTCGGGAGAAAGTGCTTCTCCTAGAGGGAGCACTGGCCTTCCACTGTGTTGGTGACAACTCCCAAAGGGCCTAGACAAGGGCAGGGCACAACAAAGACGATGCCATGACGCCTCAACAAGTGGCAACATGGCTGGGTCGTTACTACGAACGAGGTAGAAGGACCTGGTACACAACTGAAACTCCTGGGCGTGACCTGGGAAGCAGCACATCTCATCCAGAAGAGATCATTACCAAACTTTTGGCCCTGTCTGACCCAAAACAGAAAAGAGGCCCAGGGGTCGTGGCCTGTTTAGCTACTGATGCTGTCACCTAACCCATTGGCGATCTTGATGGCACCCATCTGCCAGGTTACCAGAAAGGCCACTGCCTTTGAGTCGGGCCCCAACGAACAGGACACCGCAGAGGCCTTCCAGCAGGCCAGCAGGCCTCCCTTCTCCTGGACCTCATGGCCCCATATCTGCCATTTGAGTTACACGTCGCTGCAATCTCTCAGTTCACTGAATGGAGCCTGTGGCAAAAGGGCAAGACTATAGGCCAGCATGAGCCCATAAGCTCCCCAAGTGGGCTGCAGCACACACGCCCTTTGAGAGGTTCGTACTGGCCTTCCATTGGGCCTTGGTGGACAAGCTCAATAGTAAACTCACGAGCAGAAATTCCAGTCACATTGCTGAATAGGGTCAGCTCTGGAATCTGTAGTGAAGTGTAATGGCACATACGGAGCCCAGCTGGCATCTCACAACTCCATGAGAAGATCTCATGGGCGCCCCTCCACCTCTAAGGAATAACACCCCAGGAGCCTCCTGTAGCCCAATGGAGACCCAGAAATAGAGATCTCCTGGATCACCCCTGATGGTTCCTCCTGGTGAACTTGTACTGGAATGGAATTGGGTGTGGCTGCCACCCAACTTGACGGAGGCCTGTCCTTCTCCAGAGTGGTAGAGGACCTTCTCACAGCAGGCAGCTTCACGCGTGGTCGGCTGTATGATTGTCTGCCCTGCCGGTCTCCAGCCCTGCACATAAGCACTGCTGGATTTTCACTGCCTCGGTGCCGTGGCTAATGGCTTGGCCATTTGGTTTTGTGGCATATACACAGGACCCCCTATGAAGATGAGACATTTGAATGAAGGTTGTTTCTACGCCTAATAAGAGTTTTGTTACGTACGTGGTGCTCGTCAGAAAGGCCCCTGTTGCGACAGAAACATAACCAAGGAGCACTCTGTGCTTTTCAGCTGAACACGGAAACGGAATTGTTCTTCATCCCAGAGCAGGCAGATGTGCAGTAAACTGCCTCCCAGCTTGAGGAGAGGATGGGCCCCGGAAATTCAGCCCGCATCCCAGACGGGGCCGGCACGCACGGGCCGGCTCGCACGATGAGAGTACACCAAGCTAGCGTGGAAAGCTGCCCCTCTCGTCAGACCCTGGATTATACTAAAATCACTCCCCAGGGACAGATTACTCCAAGTGAGTGGGCTGGGGCTTTCACAGCAATCCCAACAGAACACCTTGGGCCCCTCCTCCTGTCCAGTGTCCCCTGGATCCTGATTGCAGTGGACGCTTTCTCTGGACGTGGCCTGGCCACCCCCCTGCATTCCACTGCCTCGGGCCATGCTCTCCGGGCCCTGTGGGAACTCTGTTTCCTGTCAGGTCCCCTGAGCACACTTCATCTGCTAACAGCTCTGGATTCGTGGCTCAAGGCCACATCAGCGGGCCTAGTCACGGGACACACAGTGCATTCTCGAAGCCCCATACCTCCCCTAATCCACCGGGGTGGTTGAGCATTTCAATGAACAATTAAAGGGCAGGTTTAGTCAGCAGATGGGAGGGGACACGACTTCCCCAGCCTGGATTGCACACCTCGGGACAGCAGCCAGCGGTCTCAGAGCAGCGGTCCCCGTGGGGTGCTTTGCTTTAGTGCCACATGTTTGACTGAGGTGTCTGCCTGCTTCCTTCAGTCCTGTGCCCTTTTACAATTATTGACACTCCGTCTCTGTGGGGAAGCCTGTAACGGACCTCCTTACCCTTCACCTCCTTCCCAAAGACAGATTGATGGGAGAGGAGGATGGCTGACAAACATCAAGTAGTAGGAAATAGCAACGTCCTCCATTGATCTCTGGGTGCAGAGCTCGGGTTTTGCCTACAAGGTCCTCAAGAATAATGCCCATCAATTAGAGAACCCTGGTACAACAGTTTGCTTAAGGGAACCATGCCACGTCCCTGCCACTTGCTCTATAGGACGGATATCAGTATATAAAAAGGAGCTTTTTCCTAAACCACAAGGGGAGCAGAGCCTAAGGATCTGGGCTCACCACCAACCTGGGGGATTTATTAGGGTGTTCTTGCTGGTGGTATAGAACAGGCTGTCGCAGGTGGACAGGTGAGAGCACCTTTGGACCTAAGAGCTCAGATGCAGGGGATGCGCTCTCTCAAACTATAGGTTTAAGAACCTCATTAAAATACCGCCAGAGAACATTTGTCATGCAAAGCAGTAGGAGATGGAACAAATACACTTCTTTCCTCGATTAGCATATTTACAGTTGGATAATATGCGAATAATGACAACATGTGGAAGTTGGTAATCAGATAGGACAAAGAAGACATGGAGAGATTGTTTCTAGCTCTGAGGAATTTAAGAAGGCATTCTGGGTAGGATTTAACAGGAAAGAATGTAGAAAGTCTGACAAACATTGAACTTCGCTGTTATGAGTACCAGAGTGTGACCGGACACCACAGGTGCTTACATTTGAGTGAAAAGGTAAGTTGGAACCAGATAAGTGTAGTGATTTGTACTTTTTTATTTGTGGTGGGAGGGGGCCTTACAAGGTGTCAGATAAGAGTAACATGATTAGAACTGAGCTGTAGGAAACTAGCATATGGTGTCAGGGTCCCTAAAAACACCCCTAGGTTCAGAGATTGACTAGGAGCAATCACAAGACTCAGCCTAAGGTCAGGGTCCCAGCAATGATTTATTACAGTGAAAGGACAGCAAAATCAGGAAGAAAGGCCGTGGGGTGAGTTATAGGCTGCACTTCTGTTCCTCCTTCAGGAGTTGGGACCACATGTGAACTGTGATGTACCAAGGAAGCTCTTCAGAGACTCGGTGCCCAGGGGTGTTTATTGGGGGTTGAGCATATAAGCACCTCTCTGCCTACAGGTACCAAATTTCAGACTCCCAGAAGGAAAGCAGCTGTTCTCACAAAACCACATTGTCTGCACAGTGTAGGACCAGCGAGCCACCATTATCAGGAACTGAAATTCAAGTTCCCAGATGCCAACAGGGGCAACCAAAGACCAGCAGACCTTCCTTCGTAAGACGAGCAGCCACAGGCCCGCGGTGCAAGCTGTGAGCACCAGGTGTGCGGAGCAGAGGGCCCCGGCGCCGAGGCCCATGTCTGCCCGTGTTCCTCCCAGTCCCCCTTCATTGATCAGTTCTCCACTTTTACTAATGGTCAGTGGATAAGATACACAGGTCACTGAGTCAAGTTTTTACATAAAAATTTGTTGAGCAAATTTGTCCTATATTTATGACTTGATTATCCCCACGTATACTATTGAGTTGTAAAGTGGAGACAAAGATTTGTTTTCTTGTTTTTTGTTTTTTAGGTTTAAAGACAATCGAAAAGATGACATTTGGCTTGTAGATGTGAGTATGTAAATTTTTTGTACTAGTTAAGCACCCCTACCATTTTGAGTGTTATTTTTTACTCTCCACCCATATGTATACAGTTAGTACTTATGTATATTACTCAATTTGTTTTCTCAGGTAGTACTGTTTGGGTTTTTATATTAAAATGGACCTCGGTGCTTTAAGGTTCCTGGCAAGAAATCTGTTTTTGATGAAATTCTAATGAGATCGACTAGTGGATTATGTCTGAGAGGGGTTATGGTATGATTTTATTACAGAATTCACCCTTGTTTTTTCGTATTGTCCAAGAGATTGTGTATAGTAATATCACTTGGCAGTCAAAATCGTATTTCATCTTAATGGTGAGCAAAGTCAAATTTTCAGCTTCCTTTCCTCACTTTCAAGTTTGGGATGTATTTAAACCTTATGATGTTTCGGATTCGTTTTTACCTGCCTCAGTAAAAAACGTAGAGTCGCAGCAAAAGAGAAGAAAGAACAATGGCAAGTTGACAATTACTGAAGCCAGGCAGTGGAGCATGAGGCCCATTGTCTAGTTCTTGCTTTGTGTATGTGTTTGAACATTTCCGTAGTGTAATATTAAAAAAATAGGTAAGTCTTATTTCATGCGAGTACAGCAAGCAGGTTGTTACATCCCTTAACTAGAGGCACCTGATTACCATCCAGCCATCTGCGCTTCTGAAGAAGGAAGAACGTGGTTTTGGTTTAATCAGCCTGACTTGCCCTCTGCCAGGCCAGTCCTCTTACTGGTCTCCCGTGTCTTAATCAGTGGTGACACTTACAGCAGCAAAGTCACCTACTTTGTTTGAATTTTTGTAGTAGAAATAGATTGATGTGTATTGTTAACACTTAAGGAGTGTGTATGTGTATTTAGTGTTCTCATTTTATGTATAACATGGACATACTAGAAAGCAAAGATGTTTTTATTGTAAACCATATATCTATTTTAAATACATAGCAGTAGTCATTTAAAATGAACTTAAAGCAGTGTCACTGCTCAGAGTTTAGGTTTACGTGTGTGTGTTTTATTATGTAACCACTTGGAAAGTTATATTTAGATTTTTTGTCTAAAATATTATTATCAAGTAATTGAGTCCAAGACATTCTTTAAAAATTAAGATTGATATTCATAGTAGCACAATGGTTTAGTGGTTGTCTTTTTTTCTTTTTCTTTTTTAACAAGTTTTATGCACCATGGTGTGGTCATTGTAAAAAACTGGAACCGATTTGGAATGAAGTTGGTCTTGAGATGAAAAGCATCGGTTCTCCAGTTAAAGTTGGAAAGATGGACGCTACTTCCTATTCTAGTAAGCATTTACTCAGTTTATCATTTCACTGTTCTCATAATAAAAATGTTTTAATTATGCGAAGCAGTATTCAAGGTAGGAGGAAGAAATATATTTTTTGCTCATGTAAAATTAAAGTTAATTTAAGACGGTATACTTTACGAGTTAAATGAATTAACCACTGAATGTGTAATATGCAGTATATGTTAATCTGATGTCTAACAGAGATGGACAAGCCATTGCTGTTGCTTGGACCCCATTTTTGATAATCAGTGACCTGAGACAACTACAAACATTTGAGTGTTAAACCATTGACGTTGCTGTGTGAATTAAGAATGAGAGTTTGTCTCGTCTGAGCAGTGTGAGGTGGAACGGTAGAGAGTCAGTGCGAGTTTGAAGGATGAGTTGAGTTTAGGATAAATATAAGTGAGGGCCAGGAAAGCATTTACGCTAGAGAGGATATTAAAGCAAAATCACAGAGTTGGAAATGAGCTTAATGAATACGTACCAGAGAACAGAATGTCTTAAAGCAGAGGTTGGCACACTGCAGCCATGGAGGAAGGCTGGCCCACTGCCTGTTTCTGGGAAGAGAGCTGATTGGAAGACAGCCACGCTCCTCCGCCTATTGTCTGTGGCCGTTTTCATGGTCCAGTGGCAGAGTCCAGTAGTAGTATAACGTACAATATACGCTGTATGCCCCACAGAGCCGCAGATATTTATTTTACAACCCTTTACAGAAAAAGCTTACAAACACCTGTCTTAAAGGATATGGGAAAAGAGGAGATTAACCTTAGAGAAGTAGGAGGTACCACAGAGATTTGGAAAGAGCATGGCTTCCGATAGCCGGCCTGGATTCACATCCTGGCTCTGCCCGCTACTTTTGCTGAGTAGCTCCTGGAAAGCGCCTTACATCGCTAAGCTTTAATCTGTGTGCTAGTAAATGCTGATTGTAATGCCTCTTTTATTGATTGTTTTGAGATTTTTAATGACATAGTACATGTGAAGTCCCTTGTAGCGTTCAATAAATGGAGGTTCCCTTTTTCTTTAATGAACGGAGTAAGTGGAAGTATGTCCTGTGTGTTTCGTTTTAGGAAGTCAGCGTTGTGCTCTGGGTACAACTTTGGAACAAGACAGACCTATGGCTTAATCCCATATCCTGCCATGGCCTATTTTTGTGGCTTTGAGGAAGTGGTTAATCATAATTTCAGTTTCCTTGTCTGAAAATAGAAGGGTGATAATCCTCTAAATTGTGGGGATTGTATTTTTTCCAAAACTCCTGGCACAGTACAGTGGTTTACACATATAAGGTGAAAAGGGATAGTGCCGTATTTTAGGGGCTTCTCAGGTTGGACAAAATGTTTTAGTTGTGGGGTTTTTGGTTTTGGCTTTTTGTTTGTTTGTTTTACTTGTATTAGCGTTTATTTGATGCTGAATTTACTCCTGGGCCATGAGTTTTTGTTTCTTCAGTTTCTTCTGGGAGACCTTTTTCTCCTGTGCAGCCTCCTCTTCTGGTTTAGGCACGATCTGCTCTTTCTCAGTGAGGAGCATCTCAGTGTGGCAGGGAGAGCTCATGTCAGAGTTCATCCGCCCGTGAGCTCTGTAAGCTCCGCAAAGCATCTTGGTGGCTTTGTTCACCTGGCTGTGCTCAATGACCAGAGAGTCTACATCTAAACCCGTAGGTTGAGCATCACTGCGTTTTTAAGTATGTGCAGCAAAAATTCTGCACTCTTTTTCAGCTACCGACCCTGCATCCAACCCCAGTTTGGCCTGAGCACACCTCCCAGCTCCACCACTGTAACGACGGAATGCTTTTGTAACGTGACGTCCTTTAGACACTTGGTGGCTTCTCAGATATGCGTACCCGTGATGGCCTGGACAGTTGCACAGTGTTCTTAAAATGAACACGTAGATTTGAACCTCTCAATTTACATGATTTTGTGGGGTTCTCTGGGTCAAGCGAATAGTGAGCCATTTTCAGAGGTCACCTCAGGCCACCTACGGGAAGAGCCGTTTTAGTTTTTATCAGTTTTCGATTGAAAGGTAATACACTTTTTTGAGAAGGCACATGATTTGGAAAAAAGTTTTTGGCAGCAACATGTAGGATGGAAAGAAGAACCATGAGAGACAAGAAGATCATGAAGTTGACCTTGTGTGCATCGTGGTGGGGATGCTGGAAGCCCAGGCGAGGCTGGCTGGCAGTGGGGCCAAGAGGAAGCGGTAAGGCTGACAGGCTTTTCACGGAGAGATCACGGCTGTGAGCGAGTAGCTCTGTGGTATAAAAAGGAACAACTGAAAATAGTAGCCCAAGATTCTTAGTGTAGTTATTGAACTTCACTACCACGGGCTTAGATGGAAAAGAATAATTAATTCTGTGTGCATTTTCATGTTAGCTTTATTGATGTTTGGGAATAGGGAACTAGAGTGTAACTAAGATGTTAGAGCTGGAATTATTAAATCACAGAAATGAATTGTTGAAACTCAGAGGAGAAGAGGTCAATGGCAGGAAGTTATTGTAGAGAGAGAGAATAATATGCTTGGGTTGATGTTTCTTGAAATAAGATTTTAACAATGTCTAAGAAATTCAACTGTTTCTCATGAAAGGAAATTATCGTGTCTAGGCATATGTGCCGATTAGAGAAGTATACACACATACTCATTCATATAGTCACTCAGTATTTACTTGCTAATTACTGTGTGTCAAGCCCTGTACTAGTTTCTACAGATTAAAGAAGAACCAAAACAAATCCTTTTTGTCCTGGAAATGCTTACAGCCTAATAGAGGGAGAAAGATGAACAAACCGACAAGTACAATCGTCTTAGACGTGGCACATTCTTGGCGATCACATTGAACCAGTGGAGTAATGTGTACAAGGGACTAGGGGAGTATGAAAGGCGATAAGAAAAATCATAGCTGTAAATCAGTAAAAATCTTCATGGTGAACTACTGTGGTCCTACAGTGATAATTAACAGTTCACAGTATGTCAAAATTTTTTATAGTACCTAATTCGTTACCTTATTATTCACTGTTTATTAAGTGCTCCTGTGATTAGGGAGAAAAATAGCAAGACTTTTCCTGACTAGCTTGGAAAAGAAAGTATTTTAAATGCTGTGATTAAAAAGCAATATTGGGGCCGGCCGAGTGGCGCGATGGTTAAGAACTGGCTTGGGATGCCAGAGGGCCCGGTCCGGATCCCACATATGAGGGCCAGTGACACTGCCCTCCACAGCTAAGATGCTGAACAACAGCTCAACCTGGAGCTGGGCTGCCGTGAGTCGC